ACATATATGTGGATTTTTTTTTTTTTTTTTGCTATACATACTTGAAACTATACAGATTAAACACTAACTCCCCATTTCCTCTCTCTGTATATACTTTGAATTTTTCCTAGTGTTTGGAGCCATACTCTGTAACAGTCTAAAACTAGTACCTCAATTACCCATGTATCCATGCACTTGAAACTATACCCATTAAATACTAACTCCCCAGCTGGGCACGGTGGCTCATGCCTTAATCCCAGCACTTTGGGAGGCCGAGGCCGGCGGATCACAAAGTCAGGAGATCAAGACCATCCTGGCCAACATGGTGAAACTCCATCTCTACTAAAAAAAAAAAAAAAAAAAATTAGCCGGGCGTGGTGGCACACGCCTGTAGTCCCAGCTACTCAGAGGCTGAGGCAGGAGAATCGCTTGAACCTAGGAGGTGGAAGCTGCAGTGAGCTGAGATCATGCCACTATATTCCAGCCTGGACAACAGAGCAAGACTGTCTCAAAAACAAAATAAAACAAACAAAAAACTACCACCACCACAAAAAAACACTAACTCCCCATTCCTCTATATACACACTTTGAATTTTTCCTAGTGATTGGAGCCATACTTTATAATGGTCTAAAACTAGTACCTCAACTACTCATGTATCCATTCATTCACCTCTAAGGGGTGAATAGGATAGTCATTTTAAACTAATTTTGTGTTGTAAATAATTGAGTATATAACCTTAGTTTTCTTTGTATAATACCATCTTTTTTTTTTTTTTGAGAGTCTTGCTCTGTTGCCCAGGCTGGAGTACAGTGGTGCTCTCTGTTCACTGCTACCTCTGCCTCCCAGGTTCAAGTGATTCTCCTGCCTCAGCCTCCTGAGTAGCGGGGAGTACAGGCACATGCCACCATCCCTGGCTAATTTTTGTATTTTTAGTAGAGACTGGGTTTCACCATGTTGGTCAGGTGAGTCTCAAACTCCTGACCTCAGGTGGATCCACCTGCCTCTGCCCCACAAAGTGCTAGGATTACAGACATAAGCCACCACGCCCAGCCCAAAAAGTAATTTTTTTTTTTTTTTTTTGAGGCAGAGTCTCGCTCTGTCGCCCAGGCTGGAGTGCAGTGGCGTGATCTTGGCTCACTGCAAGCTCCGCCCTCCCGATTCACACCATTGTCCTGCCTCAGCCTCCCAAGTAGCTGGGACTACAGGGGCCCACCACCACGCCTGGCTAATTTTTTGTATTTTTAGTAGAGACAGGGTTTCATCATGTTAGCCAGGATGGTCTTGACCTCCTGACCTCGTGATCCACCCGCCTCAGCCTCCCAAAGTGCTGGGATTACAGGCATAAGCCAGCACACCCAGCCTACTATCTCTCTTAGTAAATACTGTCTTCCAGGCCAGGCACGACAGCTCCCGCCTATAATCCTAGCACTTTCGGAGGCGCCGAGGTGGGCGGATCACCTGAGGTTGGGAGTTCAAGACCAGCCTGACCAACATGGGAAACCCATCTCTGCAAAAATACAAAATTAGCTGGGGTGGTGGCACATGCCTGTAATCCCAGCTACTTGGGAGGCTGAGGCAGGAGAATGAAACCCAGACCGGGAGGTGGAGGTTGTGGTGAGCCGAGATCACGCCATTACCCCAGCCTGGGCAGCAATGCGGACTTCACATCTCAAAAACAAAAAAACCTGTCTTCCGGATTGCGGCTAATGTTTTCAGTGTTGATATACTGCTTGTCTTTTAAAGTCAACAATTCTCCATGTTGGTCAGGCTAGTCTTGAACTCCCAACCTCAGGTGATAAAAAAAACCTGTCTTCCGGATTGCGGCTAATGTTTTCAGTGTTGATATACTGCTTGTCTTTTAAAGTCAACAATGTTCTATTCAGAACTATAGGTGCTTTTTATTATTAAAGCCAAACCAAACCTTTATTATTATTAGAGACTGGGTTCTCACTACGTTGTCCAGCTGGAGTGCAGTAGTTATTCACAGGCACAATCATAACATAATAGCACAATGCAGCCTTGAATTCCTGACCTCAAGCAATCGTCCTACCTCAGCGTTCAAAGCAGCTGTGACTATAGGTGCACTCTACTCTGCTCAGCTCTCTAGTCGCAAAATTTATTTAAAATAATTTTTAATAATAAATTTATTATTTAAAAAAGACAAGTCTTTCAAAAAGCAAGCTTTTAAATAAAGATGTCTAGCTGGGCATGGTGGCTCATGCCCGTAATCCTAGCACTGTGGGAGGCCGAGGTGGGAGGATTGCTTTAGCCTGGGAGGCAAGGGTTGGGTGGTCTCTGCACCCAGCCTGGGTGACAGAGACCCTGTTTCTTTTTTTTCTTTTTTTTTTTTTTTTTTTGAGACGGAGTCTCGCTCTGTCGCTCAGGCTGGAGTGCAGTGGCCGGACCTCTGCTCACTGCAAGCTCCGCCTCCCGGGTTCGCGCAATTCTCCTGCCTCAGCCTCCCTAGCAGCTGGGACTACAGGCGCCCGCCATCTCGCCCGGCTTATTTTTTTGCATTTTTAGTAGAGACGGGGTTTCACTGTGTTAGCCAGGATGGTCTCGATCTCCTGACCTCGTGATCCGCCCGTCTCGGCCTCCCAAAGTGCTGGGATTACAGGCTTGAGCCACCGCGCCCGGCCGACAGAGACCCTGTTTCAAACAGAACAAAAGATGTCTGAGGCTTCAATCCCCTAACACTTTTTGAGACCACTTTAGCCAGGCTGGTCTTGAACTCTTGACCTCAAGTGATGCAACTGCTCAACCTCCCAAACTGCTGGAATTACAGGCATGAGCCACCACGCCTGGCCCTAATGTTTTTTTTTTTTTCTTTTAGAGATGGAGTCTTACTCTGTTGCCCAGGCTAGAGTGCATTGGTGCGATCTTTGCTCACTGCAACCTCCACCTCCCCGGTTCACACGATTCTCCTGCCTCTGCCTCCTGAGTAGTTTTGATTTTAGGTGCGTGCCAACACACCCGGCTAATTTTTGTAGTTTTAGTAGAGACGGGGTTTCACCACGTTGGCCAGTCTGGTCTTGAACTCCTGAGCTCAGGTGATCCGCCCGCCTCGGCCTCCCAAAGTGCTGGGATTACAGGCATGAGCCACTGCTCCCAGCCTTTTTTTTAATGAGACGGGAGTCTCACTCTGTCTCTAAGGCTGGAGTGCAGTGGCATGATCTTGGCTCACTGCAACCCCCACCTCCTGGGTTCAAGTGATCCTCCTGCTTCAGCCTCCTGAGTAGCTGGGATTACAGGTGCCCGCCACCACGCCCGGCTAATTTTTTTGTATTTTTAGTAGAGACGGGGTTTCACCGTGTTAGCCAGGATAGTCCCAATCCCCTGACTTTGTGATCTGCCTGCCTCGGCCTCCCAAATGCTGGGATTACAGGTATTAGCACCCCGCCCGGTCCCCTAACACCTTTTTTATAAAGGTCACTTGAAACACCCTCCTCTTCTTTTACTTTATGGTCATTTAAAAATGTGTGTTTTCTACTGGAATATATTCAGACTTTTTAAGATATTAGCTACCTACCAGCCAGGCGCGGTGGCTCACACCTGTAATCCCAGCACTTTGGGAGGCTGAGGCAGGCAGATCATGAGGTCAGGAGATGGAGACCATCCTAGCTAACACGGTGAAACCTCATCTCTACTAAAAATAGAAAAAATTAGCCAGCCATGGTGGCGGGCACCTGTAGCCCCAGCTACTTGGAGGCTGAGGCAGGAGAATGGTGTGAACCCGGAAGGCGGAGTTGCAGTGAGTCAAGATCATGCCACTGCACTCCAGCCTGGGCAACAGAGTGAGACTCTTGTCTCAAAAAAAAAAAAAAAAAAAAAAAAAAAAAAAAGAAGTATTAGCTACCTATCTTTCCTTCAGCATGGTGCTAGTACTGAATATTCTCAGTATTTACAACTTGGTCTCCTCCAAAAGAGAAGAAAAACAAGGGTTTTAAAAGAACCAAAGAAAAGACAAGAAATAACATTCTGGTGTAAGAAAAAATATTTTTAAAAATGAGAAACACTGGGAAATTAAAACTCAGGAGGGGTAAACTTTCATATAAATATGTACTGGGGGGATGTGAGGGAAAAGGACCAGTTCCTCAATCAATCATATTTCTCCATTATACCACAATAAAGAGACAATCCCATTTTCAAAGAAATTAGCTTTTATTTGAGACTACTTTTCCCCACATGTATCTTTCAAGAATTCTATGCTATATGATAACCTGCTTATCCACTGTCCCAATACCAGAATTTCTAACAGCAAATTATACAACTGCTGTAGGTAATAAATAAGGGTTGTCCTTCACTGATTAAGGGACTAAACTTCAATAAATTTAACAATAACAACAAAAAAATCACACTTTAGTTTTTAAGTTTTAACAGATGTATTTCAAATACAGCATGTTTTACAGGAGTTCACAAACTTTCCATCTCTAAAAAAAAAACTTTCAACTACTTGACTGTTCCATTCCACCCCAGACAATCCTGACACGACTGAACTACTTCATGTGTTACTTTCCTGAAAATAAAGTTGAAAAAAAGGAGTTCATGATAAATGCAGATCTCTAATACAGTATCTAACACAAAATAAGCTTTAAAAAGACAGTTTCTTTCCTTATTTGATTAGTTAGAAGTTTAGGTAAAAGCAAAAAAAAAAAAAAAAAAAATTTTTCCAAAGCATAACATTGGGGTTCTTTTTATACTCAAGATGTTTAACTGCTCAAAATGAAAACAATTACATCTTTAAGAGTATAATTAATAGGGGTGGAAAACAGCAACACAATTGACAAAAGTGTAGATGCTAAATCAAAGATTTTTTTTCTTAAGGAGTAGGAAGAATCCAAAGCTTGGGGAAGTCTCAGGAAAAAAAAAAAGAAAGAAAGAAAACAAAGAAAAAAAATGCCTTAATAAAAACCTTCCCTTTATTAAAAAGCGCCAAAAAAAAAAAAAAGCAAAAAAAAAAAAAAAAAAGAAAAAGTTAACAATTATAGTTTAATTTGCCTAATATTTTTCCAACTATTAACTGCCACCTTCCACCTTATACTCTAATATTCTAAAGTAAGCCATTAATTAGAAATGAGGCTTTTAATGCTACAAAAGCAAAGTTCACATACTTGGGCTGTAGGAACGAGATCTTGATCGTGATCTGTATCGACTATAATAAGGAGAAGGTGATCGTCTTCTGTAAGAAATGAAAGATTACTTAGCATACTATATAATCACTCCACTGAGGCCGATGAAAATAAAAATTCCTCATCATTCAAAATAATAATGTACCTAAGGTGATAACTACTTAATATTAAGTTCTCTTTGTGCCAATCAGACCAGAAGAGTATACAGCACAACAAAATACTGGCATATACAGATTGCTAACTTCTGTTCCCAAAGCGTCATATATGATCTATTTTAAAAATCAAGTTTTTATTCATATGTATCAAACATAAAAGTGCCAAACACTACTATCATCTAATTTAGAACAGAAAGCTCAAGTTAAAACATTACCTGTACCGGTAATCATAGTCTTCATATCTGTCATACCCACGATCATATCCTCTATCATAGTAAGAATCTCGACGTCTGCCACCACCTCCACCTCCACCACCGCCTCCTCCTCCTCCACCACCACCACTACTGCAGAAAAATGTAAAAATTCTGCATTAGTGTGAATGACTATTTTCCAGGACACTTTAATAGAAATTGAATGCCTTAAAAAAGAGAAAAGTGAGAAAGAACATCCCTTGCCTCCGTATCTCATTTTACTGACTCCCATGGTATTCTGCTTTGACTTATTCACTACATACATAACCAAGAAGGACTTCACAAAACTCTCAAAACTATTAACTGCTCTTCTATTAATGCACTGCCCAAATCATCAAAACCTTTTCAACAAACTGAAACGATGAAACACTGTGTTGAGCAGCAGTATAAAAATGCTAATATGCATCCCCCCTACTGCTAAATGAGACTGGTAAAATAAATAAATAAATGAATAAAAGGTGTATCCCTGTGACTAAAAGGCAATAAACACCAAGAATTTTAAAGTAACTAACTCTGGACACCAAAGAGAATACCAAGGAATGACTATATTCCTTCTTTTATTCCCAAGAAATACCTCTGTGAATACTGCCTTTGGTTGTATATTTTATTTTTATTTTTTGAGACAGAATCTTGCTCTGTCACCTAGGCTGAAGTGTATTGGTGCGATCTCAGCTCACTGCAAGCCCTGCCTCCTGGGTTCACATCATTCTCCTGCCTCAGTCTCCCAAGTAGCTGGGACTACAGGCACCCGCCACCACGCCTGGCTAATTTTTGTATTTTTAGTAGAGACGGGGTTCCACCGTGGTCCCAACCTCCTGACCTCATGATCCACCCACCTTGGCCTCCCAAAGTATTGGGATTACAGGTGTGAGCCACTGCGCCTGGCCAATGAACATCACAAGCCAGCCAGGAGGGTTGTATATTTAAAAACATTATCAAAACCCCTACTTACGTTTTTTGTTTTTGTTTTTAGAAAGTCTCACTCTGTCGCCCAGGCTCACTGCAACCTCTGCCTCCCAGGTTCAAGTGATTCTTGTGCCTCAGCTCCCGAGTAGCTGGGATTACAGGTGTGTGCCACCACACCCAGCTAATTTTTGTATTTTTCTTTTAGTAGAAGCAGGGTTTTGCCACGTTGTCCAAGATGGATTTGAACTCCCGGCCTCAAGTGATCTGCCTGCCTCGGCCTCCCAAAGTGCTGGGATTACAAGTGTGAGCCACTACACATCAGGATGGGGTACAGTGGCTCATGCCTATAATCTCAGCACTTTGGGAAGTCAAGGTGGGTGAATCCCTTGAGCCCAGGTGTTCAAGACCCACCCAGGCAATGTAATGAGACCTCTTGCTCTTAAGAGAGTCCTTCTCTCTTTAAAACAAAAAAATTAGCATGGCGGCATGCACATGTAGTCCCAGCTACTTCAGAGGCTGAGGTGGGAGGATTGCTTTGGCCCAGGAAGAAGTTGCAGTGAGCCAAGGTTGCTCACAAGGTGCTAGAGGTTCTTTTTATAACCTACCTCCAATTTTATTCTTTAGCTTATGAGGCGCAACCTCAGTTCACTGCAAACTCTGCTTCCCAGGTTGAAGCAATCCTCCCACCTCAGCCTCCTGAGTAGCTAGGACTACAGGTACATGCCACCATGCCTAGCTAATTTTTGTATGTTTTAAGGAGAGATGGGATTTCACCATGTTGTACAGGCTGGTCATAAACTCCTGGGCTCAAGTGATCCACCCACCTTAGCCTCCCAGTGCTGGGATTACAGGTGTTGAGCCACTGTGCCCAGCCTACTGTGGCATCTTTTAATATTTTTAACAAATGCTAAAATCAATAAAATCTGTCTTAAACACAGAGACTTCCCCAAATCACATAAGAACAAAAGGAGAATCAATATTTAAACAGCCGGCCGGGCGCGGTGGCTCAAGCCTGTAATCCCAGCACTTTGGGAGGCCGAGACGGGCGGATCACGAGGTCAAGAGATCGAGACCATCCTGGTTAACACGGTGAAACCCCGTCTCCACTAAAAAATACAAAAAACTAGCCGGGCGTGATGGCGAGCGCCTGCAGTCCCAGCTACTCGGGAGGCTGAGGCAGGAGAATGGCGTGAACCCGGAAGGCGGAGCTTGCAGTGAGCTGAGATCTGGCCACTGCACTCCAGCCTGGGCGACAGAGCGAGACTCTGCCTCAAAAAAAAAAAAAAAAAAAAAAAAAAAAAATATTTAAACAGCCTATGATATTTTTCTAGTATTCAGTAATTTTTCTGCTTGTACAGTACAAAGAGCTGAGCCAGGCTGGGGGGCGGGGGGGGGGGGGGAGCCAGGATGCACTTTTGATAGTTTTAATTTATCCTGTTGCTCAAACATACGTATGTAAAAATAAAAAGACTGGCTGAGGCAGGTGGATTGCTTGAGCCCAGGAGTTCAAGACCAGACTGTACAACATAGTGAAATCTTACCTCTGAAATACACAAAAAACAATGTATTTAACTTTCAACTCTTTCCTGGCATGGTAGCTCATACCTGCAATCCTACACTTTGGGAGGCCAAGGCGGGCAGATCACTTCAGCCCACGATTTCAAGACCAGCCTGGGCAACAAGGCAAAATCCCACATGGCAAAACCCCATCTCTACAAAAAATACAAAAATTAGCTGGACGTGGTGGCACGTGCCTGTAGTCCCAGCTACTCGGGAGGCTGAAGTGGGAGGACTGCTTGACCCAGGAAGCAGAGGTTGCAGTGAGCTGAGATGGCGCCACAGCAGCCCAGCCTGGGTCACAGAGTGAGACCATGTCTCAAACCCACACCCTTGCCAAAATCAATTCTAATTATAGGAAAAAAGTTTTTCTGAGTAATCAAAATTTTGCACATATTTCTGGTGGATTTCACAGTTTAGCTTAGGAAACTTGAACTCTTACTGAGTTGGTCTGCCCATGTAGATGCCTGGTGTTGGTGTGTGTGCTCTCTTGGTGATAGAATAATCCACCCGAATTCTTCTACCATCCAGCTCCATTCCATTTGCCCTTTCCATAGCCTAGAAAGAACAGGCACAGAAAGTCACGTATAATTCACCAGTCTTGAGGTAATCATTACTTAAAATTAAGCACAAAGTATTTGTAATTCAAATAAACTCCTGATTTTGAAAATGACAGCAATGTAGCTTGTACAGGGCACTGTACAGACAATTCTAGACCTCAACAATGTCCAGAACACATTTTAATTTACTCAGCAGAAAGAGTAGTTAATAAACTTTCCCAAATAATTTTCCAGTTCTGGTTCAATTTCCATTCCCCACTCCATGAGATCAACAAACAGTAGTTAATAAACTTTCCCAAATAATTTTCCAGTTTTGGTTCAATTCCCATTCCCCATTCTATGAGATCAACAGGGGAGCGGAGACTGAAGTCTTTTCAAGCTAATTTTGTAGGTTGCCCAGGTAGACTGCCATTTCACACTTTCTAGTTTCCGGCCATTTCACTTATAAAGACTGACTTCAGAACATTAAAAAAGGTTTGCTAAGCTTTATACAGGTTCTTTTTATAACCTGCCCCCAATCTTATTCTTTAGTTTGCAGTCTAGTATACTGACAAGACTCAGTGAGCAGTCAAGAGATGATGATATAAATCGACAAGAACAAATTTATGGTAATGCCTTTCAGCCTTTTACTGAGACTGAACTAATAAAAGTATAATAAACTAATAAAAGCTACACAATTTTTATGTATCCACAAATATTTCTCTGTAAGAGTGCCCTATAAACTAAAGGTCATTAAAAAACAAAACAAAACAAAAGACAAGGTCTCACTCTGTTGCCCAAGCTGGCAGTGACAAGATCATAGTTTACTGTGGCCTCAAACTTCTCGGCTTATGCAATCCTCCAGCCTTAGTCTCCTAAGTAGCTAGAACCACAAGGTTTGTGCCACCATGCTTGGCTAAAACAAAAATTATTGGTAGAGAAGGGGTCTAAACAGTATTCCATTCAATGGATTGCATTTTATTATTTATTTATGAGAACAGGTTTCACTCTTGTTGCACAGGCTGGAGTGCAATGGCGTGACCTAGGCTCACTGCAGCCTCTACCTCCTGGGTTAAAGTGATTCTCCTGCCTCAGCCTCCCAACTAGCTGGGATTACAGGCATGTGCCACCAGGCCCAGCTAATTTTTTGTATTTTTAGTAGAGACGGGGTTTCACCATGTTGGCCAGGATGGTCTCGATCTCTTGACCTCGTGATCCGCCCGCCTCGGCCTTCCAAAGTGCTGGGATTACAGGCATAAGCCACCACGCCCGGCCTGCAAGCATTTATTTTTGTAGAGACAAGATCTGGATATGTTGCCCAGGCTGGTCTCTTAACTCATGGCCTCAAATGGCCTTCCCACCTCAGCCTCCCAAATTGCATGAGCCACCTTGCACAGCCTAATTCTTGAAGATCAAGAGATGTCTCTTTGAAAAGAACTCTTTAGAGTATTATTTGTTTCTGGAACAATTTTTTTCCTATTCTCTCACACACACATATATATTTGTAGAGACCAAGTCTCCCTATGTTTCCCCAGGCTGGTCTCAAACTCCCGGGCTCAAGTAATCCTCCTGCCAAAGTGCTGGGATTAGAAGCATGAGCCACCACACCCGGTTCAATTTTTAAAAAGAACTTTACATCACATAAATGTCTGTAAAAGCAAAGCTGCAAAAATTTAACACATTTTCCATTTGAAGTTCCAAAAATCAAAGTTGATCCCCCTCATCCCACCCTAAGCACTGTCCCCAAAAACACACACAAAACCTCTAAGTACTTCTTACTAAAACAGGGTGAGGAGCTTATATTATCTTCACCACATGCACTCTAACAACTTTGACACTTCAGTGAAATTTTCAGAATCAGGGAGAAGTTAGTTAATAAGGGATACAAATTTTAAAAAGATTTTAAAAATCACTTTAGGCTGGGCGTGATAGCTCCCACCTGTAATCCCAACACTTTGGGAGGCCAAGATGGACGGATCATGAGGTGTCAGGATCGAGACCATCCTGGCCAACATGGTGAAATCCCATCTCTACTAAAAATACAAAAATTAGCTGGGTGTGGTGGCGTGCGCCTGCAGTCCCAGCTACTCAGGAGGCTGAGACAGGAGAATTGCTTGAACCCGGGAGGCGGAGGTTGCAGTGAGCTGAGATTGTGCCACTGCCACTGCCCTCCACCCTGGCAACAGAACAAGACTCTGTCTCCAAAAAAAAAAAAAAAAAAAATCACTTTAGCCTACTGAAGTGGCTCATGCCTGTATTCCTGGCACTTTGGGGAGGTCAAGGAGGGCAGATCACTTGAGGTCCAGAGTTTGAGGCTAGCCTGGGCAATGGGGCAAAACCCCGTCTCTACCAAAAAATACAAAAATTAGCTGGGCATGGTGGTGTGCACCGGGGTTGTCCCAGCTACTCTGGAGGCTGACGTGCGAGGATCACTTGAGCCTGGGAGGCGAAAGTTGCAGTGAGCTGAGATCGTGCCATCGCACTCCAGCCTAGGCGACAGGGCAAAGAGCAAGACCTCATCACACACACACACACAAAAAAAACAGAAACAAGAAAAAAATCAAATCACTTCAGATTGCCTGTCCCTAAAGACTGGAGGCAGTCTCAGCCATAGAGAAGAAACCATACAATATGCCTGTGTTAGCTGAGGATTCAGCCTAGGCAACTGAAAAGAGAAACTGCGATTTAGCTGACAAGCCTAGTCAACCCAATCCTTAAGTAACACGTTGTCACCTAGTGAACTAAAAGGAACTTCTAAACCTGCCACCAAGTAACTGCTCCTGTCTTTAAAGTTGCCATTTAAGCTTTTTTTTTTCTTCTTCTTTTTGAGATGGAGTGGAGTCTTGCTCTGTTGCCCAGGCTGGAGTGAAGTGACACGAATTTGTCTCACTGCAACCTCTGCCTCCCAGGTTCAAGCAATTCTCCTGCCTCAGCCTCCCGAGTAGCTGGGATTACAGGCACATACCACCATGCCCGGCTAATTTGTGTACTTTAGTAGAGACGGGGTTTCACTGTGTTGGCCAGGCTGGTCTTGAACTCCTGACCTCAGGTGATCCACCCACCTCAGCCTCCTCAAATGCTGGGATTACAAGGTGCGAGTCACTACGCCCGGCCTGCCATTTTAGCTTTATCCAGAAGTGGAAGGGGGAGAGATGGAATCAAGAGATAAACATGTTTCATGTTAAAAAATAGTAAGAAGAAAAAAATCTGTGTTCTGGCTTGCACTTTGCAACTTTTACTTCAGCTCAGATATCCTAGTATTTCTAAATTGATACCTTTATCTCTTGAGAAAAGAAATATATAAATCACAAATATGTAACAGTAAAAAAAGAAAAAAGTCCTAATACTGACAAATTAAGGCATTAAACTGCCTGTGACATAAATGATTAAAAACTGAGGTACTAGCCGAGATTGCGCCACTGCACTCCAGCCAGGGCGACAGAGCGAGACTCTGTCTCAAAAAAGCCTGATTATTAATAGAACTTCTAGATATATACAAATATATATATATATTTTTTTTTTTTTTTAATTTAGAAGACAGAAGGTCTAATAAAACTAAAAGTATTGAGCTTCAAATTCCTTAAAATGCAATTTTATAAATCAATTACTATCAACTTTTTTTTTTTTTTTTGAGATGGAGTCTCGCTCTGTCGCCCGGGCTGGAGTGCAGTGGCCAGATCTCGGCTCACTGCAAGCTCCGCCTCCCGGGTTCACGCCATTCTCCTGCCTCAGCCTCCCGAGTAGCTGGGACTACAGGCACCCGCCACCTCGCCCGGCTAGTTTTTTGTAATATTTAGTAGAGACGGGGTTTCACCGTGTTAGCCAGGATGGTCTCGATCTCCTGACCTCGTGATCCGCCCGCCTCGGCCTCCCAGAGTGCTGGGATTACAGGCTTGAGCCACCGCGCCCGGCCACTATCAACTTTTAGTAAAGAGTAAGCGAGCCTAGGCCAGGTATAGCAGCTCACATCAGTAATCCTAGCACCTTGGGAGGCCAAGGCAGGAGGAACAGTTGAGGCCAGGAGGAGTTCCGAGACCAGCCTAAGCGACACAGCAAGACTCCCTGCAAAAACTTAAAGCAAGCCTAACACTTCGTTTATAATACCTAATGTGTTAGAATAGCACTATTTCAAATCATTGACATTGATTAGTTCATTGTGTTAGACAAGAATAGCATTAAAAAATTATCAATTCTTTCCTTGTAGTATTTTTCAATTATTGAACAGACTGATACTTGAACGTTTAGAGAACAGAAAAACAAAGTTCCTTCCTCATTATAGACACAAAATTAAACATATCAAACCTAAACATCCCAGAATTATTTTTAAAGTTAACGTAATCACCTATTTGGAGCATCATTATGGCTTATTCAAAAGAGAACACTTACACATATATACTTTTTCCATTAACTTTTAACTTTTTCCATTAACTTTACACAGCCAGATTTCAATTAGGATATGCCTATACCAGAGAGCATAACTGAAAAAAGTGAAACTGTGGTCACTCCAATTGTTAACACTGAGGCAGAGTTTGAATCAGGTCAAAATTAGAAAGGACACAACAGACCACATATGATGGCTCATGCCTGTAAAACCAGCATTCTGGGAGGATCACTTGAGGCCAGGAGTTCAAGTTCAGCCTGGGTAACATAGTGAGACCTCATCTCTACAACAAGAAATTATCTGGGCATGGTGGCCCACGCTTGTAGTCCCTGCTACTCAGGAGGCTGAGGTGGGAGGACTGCTTGAGCCCAGGAGGTCAAGGCTACACTCCAGCCTGGGCAACAAAGCAGAATCAGCAAGATCCTATCTTTTATTTTTTTGAGACGGAGTCTCGCTCTGTCGCTAATCAATGTCAATGATTTGAAATAGTGCTATTCTAACATATTAGGTGTTATAAAGGAAGTGGTAGGCTTGCTTTAAGTTTTTGCAGGGAGTCTTGCTGTGTCGCTTAGGCTGATCTAAGAACTCTTTCTGGCCTCAACTGTTCCTGCTGCCGTGGCCTCCCAAGGTGCTAGGATTACTGATGTCAGCTGCCATACCTGGCCTAGGCTCGCTTACTCTTTACTAAAAGTTGATAGTAATTGATTTATAAAATTGCATTTTAAGGAATTTGAAGCTTAATACTTTTATTAGAACTTCTGTCTTCTTAACTAAAAAATATATATATTTGTATATATCTAGAAGTTCTATTAATAATCAGGCTCTCTTTCTCTCTCTCTTTTTTTGAGAGTCTCACTCTGTCGCCCAGGCTGGAGTGCAGTGGTGCGATCTCGGCTCACTGCAAGCTCTGCCTCCTGGGTTCGTGCCATTCTCCTGCCTCAGCCTCCTGAGTAGCTGGGACTACAGGTGCCCGCCACCATGCCCGGCTAATTTTTTGTATTTTTAGGAGAGTCGGGGTTTCACCATGCTGGCCAGGATGGTCTCGACCTCCTGACCTCATGATCCACCCGCCTCAGCCTCCCAAAGTGCTGGGATTACAGGCCTGAGTCACAGTACCCAGCCGCAAGATCCTATCTTAAAAAATAAATAAATAAGAAAGAAAGAAAAAGGGATGCAATGTTTACAGAAACAAATGTCGGTTAATCAACTTTTCACACTAATTCAGTACTATAATCAGGCATATAAAAGACAAATTTACCTCCTTTGAGTCATCTATTCTCTCAAAATACACAAATGCAAATCCTCGAGATCGTCCAGTTCGCTGATCATAAACCACATTGACACCACTCAATGGTCCATATCGAGAAAATACTTCACGAAGATCTCTCTCTGTTGTGTACAAACTGAGGCCAAACACTCCAAGGCAAGTGTTGGGATCTGGATTTGCCTATTGAATAAAAATATTATTTAAAACTCCAAATTAAAATCAAAATTAAAGAAACAGAAATACTTTGTTTAGAACACCTCATCTAATACACAAAAAATATATTGTTTCTAGTAATTTAGAGGTAAGATTTTAAGAAAACTAGAGCAGATGAGCCGTATTTTACAATTCACAGTACACCCAAGGACTTCTTTGGGATATGCTTTCTGTCTATTGCCTGAATTAAAATGTTCTTACTCTCCAGCCCAGCAATGTTCATAATGCATCCTAAAAATCTTGTAATCCCAGCACTTCGGGAGGCTGAGGCAGGTGGATCACCTGAGGTTAGGAGTTTGACACCAGCCTGGCCAACACAGTGAAACCCCATCTCTACTAAAAATACAAAAATTAACCGGGCATGTTGGCAGGTGCCTGTAATCCCAGCTACTCCAGAGGCTGAGGCAGGAGAATCGCTTGAATTCTGGAGGTGGAGGTTGCAGTGAGCCAAGATCGCGCCATCGCACTCCAGCCTAGGTGACAAGAGTGTTAGAAATGTTTGTTTCTCGGTGTCGTAAAGAAGTAGCACTTGAACATACATTTTTTTAGTAAGGCCATTTTTATTTTCTGGAGAAAGGGTACACTTGTCAGCAGTTTTGTCACAAGAGTACACTGAACAAAGGAAACAGGGTCATTTATAATCTGATATGTCTACCTTACTGTTGTGTCTGTTTTTTATTGGTTGGAACGGGACTTCACATTCTGTATTTGTCTTGACTGGCTAGTAACTTAGAACTTTTTAAAAGAGGCAAAGGCAGGAGAACAAAGGAAGGAGGAAGTAACTTGTGGAATGTTGAGAAAGGTAAAAACACCTTTAAATAAAGAAGAGGATCAGGCTATGACCTAATGCTTATTTGGACCTGTACAAGCATGTTAGGGCAAATATTTAGGCTAAATTGTGGGAGCTAAGAACATAAAGTACATTGATTTTTTTTTTATTACAGCTAGTACTTTTTTTTTTTTTTTGAGACGGAGTTTCACTCTTGTTGCCCAGGCTGGAGTGCAATGGTGTGATCCCGGCTCACCGCAACCTCCACCTCAGCCTCCCAAGCAGCTACACCCATTCACAGTATACACTATCCATTACAGGCATGCACTACCACCCCCAGCTAATTTTGTATTTTTTGGTAGAGATGGGGTTTCTCCATGCTGGTTAGCCTGGTCTCGAACTCCCAACCTCAGGTGATCCACCCACCTTGACCTCCCAAAGTGCTGGGATTATGGGCGTGAGTCACCGCACCTGGCCTAGCAGATATTTAAGAATGTTAGCACAGGTCTTTGAACAAATTTTGCTTCTAAGAGAAGTTATTATTTATTTCTAATTAGATGGGGAGGAAAATCTCTTTGAAGAGGAATCTTTACTTTTTACAAGAGCGAAACTCCATCCCAAAAAAAAAGTTTAATACCATCTTTCTTGTTTATTCAAATGCTTTACATCCCTTACAGATTTGTACTTAATCTGACTTCATCAGTAATTGTTGATTTAGACCCCCTCTCCTCCATCTTCTTATTTTTTTCCCCGAGACAGGGTCTCACTCTGTTGCCTAAGCTGGAGTTTAGTGGCCCGATTACGGCTCACTGCAGCCTTGGCCTCCTTGGGCTCAGGGAATCCTCCCATCTCAGCCTCCCAAGTAGTTGGGATTACAGGCATAAGCCAACATGCCTGGCCCATTTTCACTTTTTAGCAAGGATATTCTTTCAGTGTTCCCACAATCCAGACTTTAGAAATAAATTTACAGATTTCAAAACATTAAATAATGACACGCTCCACCAGTTTAAGTTAGTATCCTGTGGGAGAAGCATAGCACAGCATGCAAACATGCTCTAAAAACTTCAGAGTTCGGCTGCCTGGTTGAAATCTAGACCGCCAGTTAGCAAAAACTAAACCAAAACCAAAAGTCCTTCAATGTCATATATCCGAGACTCAATAACTTGCCTCACAGAAATATTAAGAGCTTGAAGTGTACTGAATAAAAGTGTTAGCTATGATTACTAAAACGTTTTTAGTATTTCTTTGACCCCCTTACCCCATCATAAAACTCTGAACATATCCCAGTATTCCCAACTCAGTTTATGCTTTTCACTTGAATTCTTGGAACACATTTCTTCCCAAATATCACCTCCTTTATTTTTTGAGACACAGTCTCACTCTGTCACCAAGACCAGTCTGGAATGCAGTGGCACAATCTTGGCTTGCTGCAACCTCCACTTCCCGGGTTCAAGGGATTCTCCAGCCTCAGCCTCTCAAGTAGTTGGGATTACAGGCGTAAGCCACCACGCCTGGCTAAATTTTGTATTTTTAGCAGAGATGGGGTTTCACCATGTTGGCCAGGCTGGTCTCGAACTCCTGACCTCAGGAGTGAGGTCACCCGCTTTGGCCTCCCAAAGTGCAGGGATTACAGGTGTGAGTCACCGCGCCCAGCCTTCATCTCCTTTTTACTCAAAAGTCATGAAAAGAAAAATATACTCCCAGCCAGGCACGGTAGCTCATGCCTGTAACCCCAGCACTTTGGGAGGCCAAGGCAGGTGGATCATCTAAAGTCAGGAGTTCGAGACCCAGACTGGCCAACATGGTGAAACCCCATCTCTAAAAATACAAAAATTAGCTGGGTGTGGTGGTGCACACCTGCAATCCCAGCTATTCGTGAGGCTAAGGCCGCAGTGAGTCGAAATTGCACCCCTGCACTCCAGCTGGGGAGACATAGTAAGAGACTGTCTCAAAAAAAGAAAATATACTCCCTTTGCATTCTTCGTCATAAAACATGTAAGCTTATGAAAGATGGTGGTATTTCCTTTATTTTGAAAGCTAAAGCAGCTTATTAAGGATGTTTCCAGAGTATCACTTCTCAACAATGGCCAAGCTCTCCTAAAAGCAAGACATGCTATGACTAAACACAGGAAAGAGAAAATAACAGGAAAGAGAAAATAAGTCATTAACTTTTTTTTTTTTTTTTTTTTTTTTGAGACGGAGTCTCGCTCTGTCGCCCAGGCTGGAGTGCAGTGGCCGGATCTCAGCTCACTGCAAGCTCCGCCTCCCAGGTTCACGCCATTCTCCTGCCTCAGCCTCCCGAGTAGCTGGGACTACAGGCGCCCGCCACCTCGCCCGGCTAGTTTTTTTTTTTTGTATTTTTAGTAGAGACGGCGTTTCACCATGTTAGCCAGGATGGTCTCGATCTCCTGACCTCGTGATCCGCCTGTCTCGGCCTCCCAAAGTGCTGGGATTACAGGCTTGAGCCACCGCGCCCGGTCGCCCGTCATTAACTTTTATAAACCACATACCCTGCTGCCAGTATGTCTTCTCCGGTTAGACATTGGAGAATGGCTTCGGCTCCTTCGCCGCCGGTATTCTGGTGTGTATGATCGACTTCGAGATCGTCTCCTATGAGAGTGAGAGTGGGATCTGGATCGAGTGTAACGTCTATGAGAATGCCTCCTTGACCTCGACCTTTGAGAGAAATACATTTAGGTAAAAATACTGAAACAAAATGGCTAACATCCTTCCCTCTTCCAAGGAAGTATACATGTATCCCTAACTATTCTGAGGTCCTTCCTCCTTGTTTCTGAGGAAAGGGTATTCTTCCTCCGGTTCACTTAAGTCACCACATCTTCCACTTTGTTCTCAGTCAAGCCCCTCTACATTCACCCTTTTCACCTACCCTTACAAAAACGTTAAGGCCCCATCTTCTCAAAAAAAAAAAAAAAAAAGGGGGCCGGGTGCGGTGGCTCAAGCCTGTAATCCCAGCACTTTGGGAGGCCGAGATGGGCGGATCACGAGGTCAGGAGATCGAGACCATCCTGGCTAACACGGTGAAACCCCGTCTCTACTAAAAAATACAAAAAAACTAGCCAGGCGAGGTGGTGGGTGCCTGTAGTCCCAGCTACTCAGGAGGCTGAGACAGGAGAATGGCATAAACCTGGGAGGCAGAGCTTGCAGTGAGCTGAGATCTGGCCACTGCACTCCAGCCCAGGCAACAGAGTGAGACTCGAAAAAACAAAAACAAAACAAAAACCAAAAGACAAAAACCCAACTATTGCTGTAAAATAAAATCCTGGCTGGGTGCAGTGGCTCATGCCTGTAATCCCAGCACTCTGGGAGGCCGAGGCGGGTAGATCACAAGGTCAAGAGATCAAGACCATCCTGGCCAACATGTTGAAACCTCATCTCTACTAAAAATACAAAAATTAGCCAGGCGTGGTGGTGGGCACCTGTAATTCCAGCTACTTGGGAGGCTGAGGCAGAAGAATCGCTTGAACCCAGGAAGCGGAGGTTAGAGTGAGCCAAGATCATGCCACCGCACTCCAGCATGGTGACAGAGCGAGACTCCGTCTCAAAATAAATAAATAAATAAAATCATTCGATTCTTAGTTAAGTGCAGTGGCGTGTGCTTATGTTCCCAGCTACATGAAAGATGAAGAAAGAAAAATCACTTGGGCCCAGGAGGACAAGTCTAGCCCAGGCAACACATCAAGACTCCACACCTCTATTTAAAAATAAAAATAAACAAACAAACAAAAAAACAGGCTGGGCGCAGAGGCTCACGCCTGTAATCCCAGCACTTTGGGAAGCCGAGGAAGGCAGATCATAAAGTCAAGAGATCAAGACCATCCTGGCCAACATGGTGAAACCCCGTCTCTACTAAAAACACAAAAATAAGCTGGGCGTGGTGGCCCGCGCCTGTCATCTCAGCTACTCAGGAGGCTGAGGCTGGAGAATCGCTTCAACCCTGGAGGTGGAGGCTGCAGTGAGCCGAGATCGTGCTACTGCACTCCAGCCTGGGCAACGAGAGCGAAACTCCATCTCAAAAAACAAACAAACAAAATCCTTTTTGATTTTCTGCTACTTTCTCCATATAGTTCTTTGTTGCCCAGGCTGGAGTGTAGTGGTGTGATCTCAGCTCACTGCAGCCTCTCTTTCCCGGGCTCAAGAAATTCTCCCACCTCAGCCTCCCAAAGAGCTGCACCACCATGCCTGGCTAATTTTCATATTTTTCCGGGTTTTGCCATGTGGCCCGGGCTGGTCTTGAAGTCCTGGGTTCAAGCAATTTGCCCACCTCGGCCTCCCCAGTTAAGCCAGTGTGCCTGGCCCATAAAGTTCTACATTCCCCTCACTGTTAAGTATCATTTCCATTTCCGATCCTTTTTTAGCCTGCTGCAATTCAGCATCTGCTAAACTAATTCAACCACCACCTAAATGCCCATCAAAACTGATAACTTTTCTTTTCTTTTCGAGACAGTCTCACTTCTTTACCCAGGCTGGATTGCAATGGCACGTCTCGGCTCACTGCAACCTCCACCCCCCAGGTTCAAGTGATTCTCCTGCCTCAGCCTCCCGAGTAGCTGGATTACAGGCACTTACCAGTGTGCCTGGCTAATTTTTGTATTTTTAGTAGAGATGGGGTTTCACCATGTTGGCCAGGTTGGTCTCGAACTCCTGACCTCAAGTGATCCACCGGCCTCGGCCCCCAAAGTGATGGGATTACAGGTGTGAGCCACTGTGTCCGGCCCAAAACTGCTAACATTTCTGAGTCTTCATGTTTTTTTTTTTTTTTTCCTTGAGACAGAATCTCATTCTGTCACCCAGACTGGAGTGTGCAATGGCCTGATCTTGGCTCACTACAACCTCTACTTCCTGGGTTCAAGTGATTCTCCTGCCTCAACCTCCTGAGGAACTACAGGCCTATGCCACTACACCTGGCAAATATTTTGTATTTTTAGTAGAGACAGAGTCTCAACATGTTGGCCAGGCTGCTCTCAAACTCCTGACCTCAAGTGATCCACCCCTCCTTGTGCTCCCAAAGTGCTGGGGTTATAGGCATGAGCCACCACACTCAGCCTAAGCCTTTACTTACTGATACTTTCTATAACATCTCACTTGTCTACTGCTGCTCTTCTAGTTCATCTCCTCTAATTCCCAGTTGCTTGCAGTCCTTTCTTTGCCTGTAAGACTAATCCAACAGGCCGGGCACAGTGGCTCATGCCTATAATCCCAGCACTTTGGGAGGCCAAGGCAGGCAGATCACAAGGTAAGGAGATCAAGACCATCCTGGCCAACATGATAAAACCCTGTCTCTATTAAAAATACAAAAAATTAGCTGGGTGTGGTGGCGCATGCCTGTAATCCCAGCTACTCGGGAGGCTGAGGCAAGAGAATCACTTGACCCCGGGAGGCAGATGTTGCAGTGAGCTGAGATCAGGCCACTGTACTCCAGCCTAGCAACAGAGTGAGACTCCGTCTTAAAAAAAAAAAAAACTAATTCAACAAATTCTTACCTACCATTCATATGACCCACCCTTAACTGACACAGACCAGCAGTGATGACAGTCATATAAAATACCTTCTATATGGTACTCAATGAACCCAGGAGGTGGAGGTTGCAGTGAGTTGAGATCACACCACTGCACTCCAGCCTGGGCAACAGAGCAAGATTGCATCTCAAACAAAACAAAACAAAACAAAACTCTTCAAGAGTCTCTACTTTTTTTCAGCTCAATAATAACCCATTGTTAATACGGCTAACTGTCCTCAGTAATTCCCTACTTGAACCAGATCACCAATTTTCTGTTAAGTAATCAAGCAAAAACTTTTTGCATGATTTTACAAAGTGAGGATATGGAATACAGGAATAAAACTAGAGAGAAGACCTTATGAAACACAATAGGTGAATAATAACACTAGGAGAGTTGATATTTCCCATTTTAGCTAGCACCAATTTACAGTTCCAAATTTTAAAATGAAGAAAAAAAAAAAGTAAGAAAACCCTTAATTTAAAACATCAATTATTAGGGGGCCGGGCGCGGTGGCTCAAGCCTGTAATCCCAGCACTTTGGGAGGCCGAGACGGGCGGATCACGAGGTCAGGAGATCAAGGCTAGCCTGGCTAACACGGTGAAACCCCGTCTCTACTAAAAAAATACAAAAAACTAGCCGGGCAAGGTGGCGGGCGCCTGTAGTCCCAGCTACTGGGGAGGCTGAGGCAGGAGAATGGCGTAGACCCAGGAGGCGGAGCTTGCAGTGAGCTGAGATCCGGCCACTGCACTCCAGCCTGGGCGACAGAGCGAGACTCCGTCTCAAAAAAAAAAAAAACAACAAAAAAAACCAAAACATCAATTATTACTTTTAAACAGCAATTAAAGTGAGACAATAAAACTCTTCCAGCCAGGCGCAGTGTCTCACTCCTGTAATCCCAACACCTCGGGAGGCCGAGGTGGGCGGATCACCTGAGGTCCAGAGTACGAGACCAGCCTGGCCAACATGGTGAAACTCCGTCTCTACTAAAAATACAAAAAATCAGCCAGGCACCTGTGATCTCAGATACTCAGGAGGCTGAGGCTGCAGTGAGCTGAGATCGTGCCACTGTACTGCAGGCTGGGCAACACAGCGGGACTCTATCTCAAAAAACAAACAAAACCCTTCAAGAGTATCTACTTTTTTTTTTAATTAGACAGTGACAAATAACATAAAAAAATTAAGAGTAAGGGAATAAAGGATATGTGAGTAACTCAATGTTCTCAGGTGACAATCAAATGAAATGAGGAGAAAAATGTTCTAGGTTGAAGGTGGCAAATGCAAAGGCCCTAAGGCAAAAACATGCTTCTTTCTATATCCATGCTCAAATTCTAGCCCGTGCTATTCTGCACATAATAAATTTAATAACTGAGTAATAAGTAATCGAGCACTGGGCTAGACCCTTGCTGTAACAGAAAACAGCATGGTTGCTAACCCCAAGAAAAGTACAGCCTTTTAACTGATTTTTCTGTCTCATGCCCCTTTGCAAGTAGACTGTTCAAAGACGTAAAATCTATCCCTCCACCCAAGAAATGACAATGAAGTAAGCTAACTGGTCAGGCTGTTTTAAAACCCTTTTTTTTTCTTTTGAAGAAAGAGTCTCGGCCAGGCGCAGTGGCTCAAGCCTATAATCCCAGCACTTTGGGAGGCCAAGGCAGGTGGATCACCTGAGGTCAGAAGTTCGAGACCAGCCTGACCAACATGGAGAGACCCCCTCCCCCCCCCACTAAAAATACAAAATTAGCCGGGTGTAGCGGCACGTGCCTGTAATCCCAGCTACTAGGGAGGCTGAAGCAGGAGAACTGCTTGAACCTGGGAGGTGGAGGTTGTGGTGAGCTGAGATTGCGCCCTTGCACTCCAGCCTGGGAAACAAGAGCAAAATTCCATCTCAAAAAAAAAAAAAAAAAAAAAAAAGAAGTCACCCAGGGTGGAGGGCAGTGACGCCATCTCTCGGTTCACTGCAACCTCCACATCCTGGGTTTAAGCGATTCTCCTGCCTAAGCCTCCCAGGTAGCTCACCACTACGCCCAACTAATTTTTGTATTTTCAGTAGAGGCAAGGTTTCACCATGTTGCCCAGGCTGGTCTCAAACTCCTGACCTCAAGTGATCCACTCACCTCGGCCTCCCAAAGTGCTGGTATTACAGAGGTGCACCACTGCGCCCAGCCGTCTTAAAACTTTTTATCCCACCTCAGTACACCTGGGGCATTTGACAATGACTTTGCATCGGTTCTGCATCGGTTCACTATAGCGTTTCTGTTGTCCGTGGTGGTGGGACCCCGAATTAGCTGAGGACTTTTCTGCCCAATTACATCTGACCAGAGCTCTACCGTGGACGTAGAGTCAGAATCTTCAGATAAAAATGTAGCTGGAATGCAAATCCTAAAAATGCTTCTCAATCGTTCTGACCAACCAGCATAACATACACACATCAACTTTCTCTGCACTAAATTACATGTGAGACTCCAATGCAGAAAACCACCTTTTTGTTGTGCAAATATTGTTGGCATAGAAACCAAACACTAATTATCAAATGTCAAACACACTTAAATCGATGGCTATATACACATAATTTGTATTGGTTACAACTATCCAATATATTAACTGGGCCAGGAGATGATTTTATTATTAATTTCTTATTTTTCAGAGACAGGGTCTCCCTGGCACCCAGCCTGTGGTACAGTGGTGCAGTCAATGCAGCCTGGAACTCCTGGGCTTAAGCCGTACTTCCAAGTCTTTGTCTGGGATATGGTATTCATTTACAAAGAGCAGTCTGAGAAAAACTACTTCGTCATTTTGAGTCTTTTGTGAAATTTCTACACAAAATGCAGCCAACAACCGCTTTGTCCTCAAAAACCCCAGAAGAATATTTTAAGTATTATCTTAAACAGACTTACCTGGATTTTGATCTTGACCGAGAATGGGATTCAGAGTGTTTGGAAACCCTTGATGGACTACGAGATCCTGACCTGCTCTCCGATTTTACACGAGCAGGAGTTCCCGTTGGAGATTTTGACTGAGAGCGAGACTCCTAACAAAGAAGACAGTATTACAAATGGCACTGGTCATGTAGATGCCTAACACCTAACATTTAAAGTACCGTAATTATTTATATTGATTGCTCCTGAAAAACAAATGGTTAGGCAACACCCTCCAGAAAAAATTTCAGCTCAATAATAACCCATTGTTAATACTGCTAACTGTCCTCAATAATTCCCTACTTGAACCAGATCACCAATTCTCTATTAACTAAGTAATCATGCAAATTCATCTACAACTTGATCATACAGACACTGGAACATAAACCATACATTTACTTAACCTAGGACCCATTCATTCTTCCAGATTCTTTTAATTCTACTTCACTCTTGCTTTCTACTTCTCTTCATTCTTCATTGAGTTTTTCATTTTTCATACTTCGTGTATTCTTCCCCAATTCAAACAATTCAAAATAGCCTTAAAAAAAATTCAAGTGCTTCTATCTGACCAATCTTCTGTTCAATTTTTTCCCCCATTCAATTTTAATTTTCTGATCTTTAATACTTTTCATTAGCCTTCTTTTATCTTGATTTATCTTCCACATTCTTGGAAAAAACTCTTCAATTTCTTCACGAACATTAACCTTAATGGAAAAAGAACATTTAGTATATTTAAGCACGTGGGGATTATAAAACTCTGCTGGAGTTCAGAATGTTATCTACCAAATGGAAAAGCCAGCAGGTAAAGTGCAAGTAACTAATTTAAAAAAAAAAAAAAAGAAAAAAAAAAAAAAACAATTTTATAGTCTTTAAAATTGTTCAAAACTCTAGTTTCTAACAGAGAAGTTACTAAATTTCTCTAAATGTTTTTTTAACCATACTCTTCACCCTCCTCCCATGTTTCATTCTAGTTCCTAAAATGTGAGCAATTTTAATATAAATAATTCAAACATAAATCTAACAACTATAATTCCCCCCCACCTGTTAAATTTTCACTATTTTATAATCTGAAGATTCTTAAAACAAGCTTTCACTAAGTTATGCTAAGAAATCAAGATATAGTTAGAGTAAGGCATCCCAGGCTGAAATATTTGTACACACCTATCTAAACTCACCCATAGCACATATCAGAGTTCAAATAAGTCAAAAAGAAAAAAATCAGTAAAATTACACCTTCTTTCAACTTTGACCACTATCTTTGTTCATTCTGACTTAAAATATGTTCTGAAGACAAACAAGCATACTGAAAAAACTAATAGACATCAAAGTCTTAAAATTTCCCCATTAGCTTATTAATTCCTGATATATATATTTTTGCAACCATATCACTTTAAAATGCTCTATTATCCATGAAATACCACAATGTGCAAGAAGGTACAAAATGTATATCATGGTCTTTATCTTTGATTCCACCTGTTTTGTTCAGTTTTTACATAATTTATGCATTTATGTATGCTGGCACTCCCTTCAGTGACTATATCCTATATCCAAAAAGTGATGGGTTTCTGAAAAAATTGGATGTAAATCAAAGCATTCCAAATAAAATAACTTACTGATCATAAGCTTTTTTTTTTTTTTTTTTTAACAGATATGAGGCACTCATGATCAAAACAGGATAGACAGCTTGGTTTCTGTCCAGTTAAGCCTTGATTATCAGTGTAAATAATTATCTCCATTTCACAGAAGTAATTTCATACCAATTTATTTATGCCTTAAGACTATCACACAACTCAAACAGCTTTCTGAAAATGTTTCCTTTGCTTCAAGTTTAATGTCAAGACTTATTTATCAAAACTGAAATACACAGCTACCTTTCCACTCAATACCAACCTTTCCCATTTAGCTACCTACAAGTCTTTCACTGCATCTCAGATACTCTAAACTACTGAACAGATGTCTGCAGCAGGCATAGCAATCTGGGCTTTTTCAGTCACTGAAACTATGAAAACAGCATATTCAGTATCTTATTTAAAAAAAAGGCATGGCTAATTTGCTTGTAATTTAAGTTTCACAGACTGGTTCATTAACCAAACAGATAAGAGTATCTCATATTCCCCTCTTCTCTTTTGGCTTCCCTTTCTACAAAACAGATCTTATGACATAACATTCATTTATGCTACTGTTGAATAGCAATAGCTGGATTATTATCTACGAAAGTTGCTACTGTCCTTCTTATATATACACAGGAGGCTTTCCTCTGTAAAACACTACAATCCTTTAATTTTACTAGGATGGAAATAAAAACCTTTTTTTAAAGTAAACAAAATAATTCAGTACCATCTTAAAATTCAAATTTTAAATCCCAGTTTTGGAGTAGCAGCAAAGCATTACGGTATGATAGAATGTCTTTTTAAGAGACGTTAGCTTATTTATTTTGAGACGGAGGAGTCTCATTCTGTCACCCAGGCTGGAGTGTAGTGGTGCCATCTAAGCTCACTGCAACCTCCACCTTCTGGGTTCAAGTGATTCTCCTGCCTCAGCCTCCTGAGTAGCTGGAATTACAGGCATGTACCACCTTGCCTGGTTAATTTTTGTATTTTTAGGAGAGATGGGGTTTTCCCATGTTGGCCAGGCTGGTCTCAAACTCCTGACCTCTAGTGATCGGCCCGCCTCGGCCTCCCAAAGTGCTGGGATTACAGGTGTGAGCCTCCATGCCTGGTCAACATTAGATTTATTTTAAAAGAAGCTTTGCTTTTTATTATCAAAGGTGTCACAAATACCTAATCTCCTTTGTTGTCTGCCCTTCTCTCTCTTTATCTCAGAGGAAATCTCAAGTCTGCATAAATTTCTTCATGGAAACATCTAACTTTAAAACAGTCCTCTTCTTCCTAGCTACGAAATTGTCACCATGATTTTTTTTGAGATGGAGTCTCGCCCTGTAGCCCAGGCTGGAGTGCAGTGGCACGAGATCTCAGCTCACTGCAACCTCCGCCTCCCGGGTTCAAGCGATTCTCCTGCCTTAGCCTCCTGGGTAGCTCGGATTACAGGTACGCGCCACCACACCCAGCTAATTTTTGTGTTTTTAATAGAGACAGGGTTTCACTACGTTGGCCAGGCTGGTCTCGATCTCCTGACCCCTTGATCTGCCTGCCTTGGCCTCCCAAAGTGCTGGGATTACAGGCGTGAGCCACCACACCCAGCTTCATTTTAACTTTCAAAAACAATTTACACACTTACATTAACAAATCAGTCAGTAACACTGTTAGTAAACTTAACTGGAAGAATAAACTGCCAAGTATATAATTATTTAGAAATAAAGTAACATTCTCAAAAGCTGTTACCAAATAAATGCCACTTTCATGGAACTCTACATTAGGAATCAGGCTATAAGAAGTCCTTTATATAAAGAGAATAAATGCTAGACTAATCCTTTTCTCTCTGACTTGTCTTCATTATGAAATAATTTCAACTTTTTCTCAAAGAAATTCATAAAACTATCCATAATTTGGAAAATGAATTCAAATTGCAAACAAACAAAAAAAAAATTGCTAGGAATGGGTGGTATCTGCCCTATTTCACTAGACTACTTGTTCTTAAAGCTGTCCAGTCAAAGAATCCTACATTTCCTCAGTAATCTGGCTCCTGCATCCAACAACCATTAAAAATACACTGCCCAGTTGAAATGGGCAGATTAATAACTCAACTCATATCATGAATTTTAACAGAAATCTTAAATAGGCCTCCAGTCTATCTTACACGCTATAAAGCAGAAGCCAGGCAGAAAAGTTCTTTTAACAGCACAACCTGCTTAAACAGGTTTTTGTTTTGATGTTTATTTGCTTGTTTGGTTTTTCTGTCACCCAGGCTGGAGTGCAATGGCACAATCTTCTCATTGCAACCTCCACCTCCTGGGTTGAAGCAATTCTGCCTCAGCCTCCCGGGTAGCTGGGAGTACAGGCACCCAACGCCGCACCCAGCTAACTTTTGTATTTTATTTTAGTAGAGATGGGGTTTCACCACATTGGCCAGGCTGGCCTCCAACTCCTGACCTCAGGTGATCCACCCGCCTCAGCCTCACAAAGTGCCACGATTACAGGCATGAGCTACCGCAACCGGCCTGCTTGATTAAACTATTCTATTATCAAGATGCCCCTGCTGTTGGTTGAAGGAAATGGCCAAAAATTAAAAGGAGGGAACTAATACTAAGAAAGTATTACAGTGTATCCAATACAAGCTGGTCAAGAATTGTCTGTGTTAAAACAGAGTTGTATTTTACACACTGAATAACCACAATAACCACGTACTATTCTTTAATCAGGAAAAGGGTTATTATATACATGTACATACTGTTGAGGAACATGAACAATTCCTACAGCAAACAATAATTGCAGTCTTTTAATATAGTCTGTGTCATACTATAAAAAGAAATTCCAATACAATATATATGTGCTATCCATTAAAATAAACTATTAAATGCTATACTGTAACTTACTCTAACATTAAGGCCAGGCAAATTCTATGCCATTTAATAGTGCCAAATTTACTCAAGTCCAAGTCTATGAGTAGAAGCTTGTAAAACAAACTTACTCAAAATGTGTTTTCCTGCTACTTTATGACATTGGAGCTCTATTTCCATAGATACACACTAGTGCATTCAGGAAAATCACAAGTACCCCAAAAAAAGGGAAATGTACCTAAATTATCCAAATACCTTACAATATTCATCTTACTATTTACTAAAGAAATTCTTCAAGACTTGTAAAAAACCTGTATTTACTCAACCTCAGCCTATAGAAAGAACAGTTCTGCTTCCTTCCTCTTGGGTATGGTAGAATACTTATACAGACCCCATGAAGTTAAAGCAACACTTCCATTCTCTCCTTAAACCATAACTGTTATTAGAACAAATCCCTTAAAAAGAAGATAGCAACTGCTCATATTAGTTAAATTTAAACATAATTTCCCTTCTTTTAAATGCAGCATGCCTATATGCTGCATTCTGAAGTCAATGTGGTCTTTATCTGCAAAGACTCAAACATATTCTAATACTGTACGTTTGCTTATTCTCTGAAGTTTAGAATAGTCTTATCATAAATGATTTAGTAACTGACACCCACATATAATCAAATTTAAACTCATACCATAATTGTGAAATTACCTGTAAAATTTACAATATTTTGTACAGATTTTAAATGTGGTTCATAAGTCTCCTAGCTTATATATCATGATCAACTGTAATGTTCAAAAAGCTAATGTATAAGTGGCAATTTCAAAGGTAGAAAAAACAAGTTTGTTTTAAGGACTAATGTGGTTTAACCGTATTAAAAGCCAATAAATAGCAACTAAACCCAAACTACTAAGAACTTGTTACAGCATTCTCTATGTTCTCATCTTCTGGTGTTATACAGTATTTATGAATCTTGGTAAGTCAGATGATAGGGTCCTGGTTTCAAGGAAAAATCACAACTTTTCTTCTACATATTAGTCAGGCCTAGTCACTCTATCTTTGGTGAAAGTCATGGGACAGGAAGGATTATATATAACTATATATAGAAGTAACTTAAAAGGAGGGAAGGGAAACCATATTTCCCTTTATTATTCTCCTCTCAACTTTTCTTCAGTGTATACAATCTTTCCCTCATCTGGTTGTTACTATCTTTTTTCACCTCCATGCCTGTCTTGCTAAATTTGTGAGGACACATGAACAAATAGCAATCAGTCTTAATTCATTAGCACATGAATACACATCTTTTAGTTTATCTAATGAATGAGCATCCACTGATACTATTAAAGACAGTTTTCTGTCAGTCAAGTTCTAAGAAACTACTATACTGATTATTGATGATATTTCACACTTGTTATGCTACATCATAGGTTAGAGTTTGGTGGATTAACAAAATTAAGCCCACGAAGTGTTTTCCAAACCACACATCCCTAAATATTTGAATCCCTGGACATTCCTTCAGATCTCAAGGTTCTATATTCCACTTAATGAGTAGTACAAAGTATAAGCCTCTATGACAGAACTGTAAAATTAGTTATGCACGGTGGGTGTAATTACTTGTGCTGCTCCTTTTCAAAATCTTGCCATCTACTTATATTGAGCAGATCAGCATCCTTCAGTGAAAGAACCTCAAATATAAAAATTCGAGATTTAAATTTTTTTTTTAAGTTTACAAATTCTTTGCTTAAATGGAAGGGGGGAGGAGAACAATTGAAAGCATTAAAATCAGATAAATGATAGTACTTAAATTTAGGAAAACAGATTAAACCCAAGACTCTCTTAGGTTAACACTATCCCTACTCTAAGAAAGCAAGCTTTATCCTTATGTAAGGTCAATTTGATGATATATGGAATTAAATTGCTAAAGATGCTGAATAAGCAAAATGTTGACATCTCTCACATTTATCTTAAAATTTCATACACAAATTTTAAGCCCAATTTAAAAGTTTTGGGGTTTTTTTTTTTTTTTTTTTTGAGACAGTCTCCCTCTGTCATCAGGCTGGAGTGCACTGTGGGGAGTGCAGTGGTCGATCTCGGCTCACTGCAACCTCTACCTCCTGGGTTCAAGTGATTCTCTACCTCAACCTCCCGAGTTGCTGGGATTACAGACACGCGCCACCACGCCCAGCTAATTTTTGTATTTTTAGTAGAGACGGGATTTCACCATATTGGCCAGGATGGTCTCCATCTCTTGACCTTGTGATCCACCCACCTCAGCCTCCCAAAGTGCTGGGATTACAGGTGTGAGCCACCGCGCGCGGCCTTGTTTTGTTTTAAACAAGGCAGTCACAGAGCTGGGTTTTGAATAAGTAGTCATCATCCCTATCATTCTCAGATTTCAGAAAAGGACCCTCCCCCCATTTCTTCTATTCTTTAACAAAAAATCTTTACACACAAAACTTTTAATTCCAAATTGGTACAGATAAATGTTTGCCTTTTTTTTTAATGTCTCGCTCTGTCGCCCAGACTAGAGTGCAGTGATGCGATCTCGGCTCTCTGCCTCCCGGGTTTAAGCAATTCTCCCACCTCAGCCTCCTAAGTAGCTAGGATTATAGGCATGAGCCACCCCGCCCGGCCTGTAGGAGTCTCTCAAAAATATTACAGCTACTCAAGAAGCCAAAACAAATCCTGAAAAGGAGGCAAGAATAAGCCGTATTTTTCCTCTTCAACTGTAGAAAACATAAATAACTCTGGAATTACAAGATAGGTACCTAACAATAAGGAATCATTAACCTCTATTATCAACACTGGGCTGTTGTATGAAAATTGCACATTTTTATAAAGTACAATTCTTAAAATTTTAGGGGTAGAGGTGTAAAATGTTAAGAAAAGATTTCCATTGCCATTAACTTCTATGAAGGGCATTAACAGTTTTTGAGCTCAAAATCCCAATTTTGGTTGAAGCTGTATTGAGGCAAACAACTCATTACTTTTATCAAGACATGCGAAAGCCAATGCTTAAGTGCTACTTTTACTCCCGGCTCCAAAGGACATCTCCACTTAAAATTTCTTTAATGGACCTATTTATTTATTTATTTTTGAGATAAGAGTCTCACTTTGTTGCCCAGGCTGGAGTGCAGTGGCGCAATTCCGCCTCCCAGGTTCAAGTAATTCTCCTGCCTCAGCCTCCCAAGTAGCTGGGATTACAGGCGCACGCCACCAAGCCCAGTTAATTTTGTATTTTTAGTAGAGACAGGGTTTCACCACGTTGGGCAGGCTGGTCTCGAACTCCTAACCTCAAGTAATCCACCCGCTTCGCCTCCCAAATTGTTGGGATTACAGGCGTGAGCCACTGCGCCTGGCCAGAAACGATTTTAAAAGGACATCTCCAGACAAGCTCCTAGCATTGTTCTAATTCTTTAACCAATTGCAAATAAAGACAATTATCTCAACCTATAAAAACTAAAAGACAAAACATAAAAAGATACAACAGGTGAGCCTACAAGCACTAGCTGATTTCCACGAAAATACAAGTGGGTACCACTTGTGAAAAACGTCTTTCTTATGACCACAAAGGGCCGTAAGGCCCTTTATTTCTATTAAATAAATCTTTAATGCCTACATATATTTTAGTTTAAAAGTGGGTGGGAATCTTTTTTTTTTTGGGGGGGGAGACGGGAGTCTCACTCTGTCGCCCAGGCTGGTGGGTGGGAATCTTAACATGTTACTTTCTTAGGAGGGAAAAGTGGCAATTGTCACTTGCAACTCACTCCTTTCCTAGACTTGATAAATTAAAAAAAAAAAAAGCAAACAAGGTCCCTCTAGTAGTTCTCTTCACTCCCCACAAACCAAATCAAACATCAACCTCCCTATTTTTTTAATAATGAAAGTTAATTGAAGAAATGTATGAATGGACAGCAAATTTTCTATCGACAATTACTCAACATTTTCAAAACAAGAAGCATTTTACAACTACCATCATATATGCTTATTGCATGATTTTAGAAAGTTATGTTGGGGCAATCAATATACCATCCTAAAAAATGAGCAAGTTCAATTTTCATTTGTTTCCATGCTCCAAACTTTGTCAAAAAATTCCAATCAAAAGAAAGGCAACTTCTTTAGTCTATTGGGTAACTATCACAGTCTATTGCTTTAAATCTCTTTCCTCAAAGAGAACTAAAGCCTAAACCGACCTTCTGATTTGACTTTTTGGTTCCAGATCTTTATATCATGAACTCCCAAAAAAGGACAAAATTCGCCCTCCAGTACACACCTCAAGTGTTTTTATGTGCTTCCCCTAGTGACTAGAATAAACATCAACACAACAGCCCGGAACGTGTTGCATGGGGCTTTTGTCTTCCTTCCAGTTTCACAGGAACTCACTTCTACAATTCCCAATGTAGGGTAAACTTTGGAAATGAAACTCACTGAAAAACGTTCCAGTACATTTAAGCTGGGTATAACGTATTCTTTGTGATGTTTATATTTCTACGACCCCAAATACATTAATAAAAACTTTCTTCTAAGCCCTCTTCGGTGGGGGATAGGGTGAGAAGAGAAATGGGAGAGGGCCTGTTAATTTTCAGGTCATCTTTTAAGTTACAGAACAGTACATACTGACTAGTTATCTTAATACTGAGCCAATGAATTCGTTCAGTTATGTAAGATTAAAGACAGTTTTTGTTTTTGTTTTTTTACCGTAAAAAGCTGTAAAGCAGTGGTCAGTTTTTAGATGAAAGGTCATAGGAAGAAGAGCATTAAAAAGTTCAGATATAAAGAAGAGAAAAAACCCAACATCGAGGAATTAGAAAAATAAGGCGTGAAAGCATTTCCACATTCATTTCGAAGTGAAAGCAAAAGTCGAAGGGACATTAAGGGAAAAGGGCTCCTTGCGTAGTTTTCCCCTCACAGCTCTCGTCTTAAGAACGCTTAAGGGTCGGTGCGGTCGTTGACTAACCACTTCATTAGGCTCGTCCCACCTTCAACCTCAAGGCTTTCGCCTTTATAGACGCAACGCCGCCGGTTCCAACAGAGACGCGGCCGCTCACTGCAATAGAGAGCCAAGGAGACACAGGCCCCAGCTAGTCCCACGCCAGCTTCTCCCCGCCCGGAAAACAGCCCCGCGCACTTTCGACCCCGAGACCCTCTACGATGCTCGGGGTCGCCAGAAATGCCACCGCAGGAAGCACCTACCACTATCCGGACGGAGGGGAGCTCCCTGCCGCCTCCTCCCGCCCAACCGCGACCGGGACCCACACCTCGGAGCAGACAGAAGGAAGCCTCAGGGGTGGGGAGAAGGACGGGAGCAATGCGGGGGCGGGGCGGGAAGAGGACCCAGAAGTCCAGGTATCAATCAGCCTCCAAAAAAGGGGGAGGGGTGTTATCCGTGGTGTTTGGGGGAAGGAGTGGAACCCAGAAGCCATCTTGGGATGGGAGGAAGCAATCGCGATGGCTCCAGAGGTTGCTCCTCGCGGGACTACCCGCAACCCCGCCCGACCGCGCTTGTTCCCGTGAAACCCCGAGCATTGGGCCGCCGCCTAGACGGCTCCCGCGGCTTTGTACTCACTCTGCCCTCGAAGTTGTTCTCCTCTACATCACTCATGTCGACGAGGCGCTCCCCAGAACTAAATAAGAGACAAGTCTCGGCTCGAGGGCCGATGGCCTAATTAACCCGCTGACTGGACCGTGGGGAAGAGGAAAGAGTCGGCAACCACAGCCGCTCCACTCCACTCCCACTCGGTCGCAGGCTCCGGCAAAATGGCGCCGGCTCCGCCAGAAATCTCCTGGCCTCCTCAGAGCACGACGTAAAGGGGGCGGGCGTATCTGTGACGTCACGAGGCCCCACCTCCCGCGAGGCTTTGTGCCCGCTGGGCGGGGCGCCAAGGTGGAGGTTGGCGGGTGGCCTGCGCTCTCAGCCTGGGCGCCTTGGAATCGCGGTCCCGTGCTGTCCTCCAAACTTCAGACTCATCTCGGACGTGTCAACCTCTTTGAAGACTTTTCAGTCACCACCAAGTGGATTCTGATGCAAGGGAACAAAACAATGGAAGCTTTTTTTGTTTATTTTTTAAGTCAGGGTCTCCCTCTGTCACCCGAGCTGGAGTGCAGTGGAGCGTTCACTGCTCACCACAGCCTCAAACTCCCGGACTCAGGCGATCCACCCACCTCAGGCTCCCGCGAGCGCCACCACGCCCGGCTAATTTTTTTGGGGTGGGGAACCGAGCCTCACTCTGTTGCGCAGGCTGGAGTGCAGTGGCGCTATCATGGGGTTTTGCCATGCTGCCCAGGCTGATCTCGAATTCGCGGACTCAAGCGATCTGCTCGCCTAAGCCTCCCAAAGTGCTGAGATTACAGGTCTGAGCCACCGCGCCCGGCTGGAATCGTGTATATATAATTAACAGGCTTTTGCGGGGGACGTTGTCAGCTGACTGTATTACTTTTCTTCCCTATTTGCCCGGTGTAACGTCGACGTAATACATGCACAGATGAGGTTATGATGCAAAGCCGCTGCTCCTTGCCTCATCCCTCCCTGCTCCAGATCCCCCTCCTAGAGACAGCCATGTAGTCTTTTTTATAATGCTTAACTCCCTACTAGTCTTTTTGACTTAGATATTTCCATAAAGCTTCATAGTGAAGACCTCCCAAATCTGTCAACTTGGTTCCCAATCATGGTAATAATCTCTGAGATGAGTTTTACTTGTGTAATACAACTTAAAAAAATTAGTTTCATCGTACATTTTTTTCCTACAGTGCTTTATGGTAAAAAGATTGACATGGACTTTCAACTATAGTTCTATGGTAGGAAAGTTCATCTAGCATTATTATGAAGATTGCTACCCCTGGGGGCCAGATTTCAAGGTTTGAATGTCGGTTATTGATAGGACTAAACTTATATGACATCTGGCTCTTAGAAAAGATGTTGAACGGCCGGGCGCGGTGGCTCAAGCCTGTAATTCCAGCACTTTGGGAGGCCGAGACGCGTGGATCACGAGGTCAGGAGATCGAGACCATCCTGGCTAATATGGTGAAACCCCATCTCTACTAAAAAATACAAAAAACTAGCCGGGCGAGGTGGCGGGCGCCTGTAGTCCCAGCTACTCCGGAGGCTGAGGCAGGAGAATGGCGTAAACCCGGGAGTCAGAGCTTGCAGTGAGCTGAGATCCAGCCACTGCACTCCAGCCTGGGCAACAGAGCGAGACTCCGTCTCAAAAAAAAAAAAAAAAAAAAGAAAAGATGTTGAACTTGGCTGGGTGGTGGCTGATGCCTGTAATCCCAGTACTTTGGAGACCCTAGACGGAAGATCGCTTGAGGCCAGAAGTTCGAAACCAGCCTGGTCAACATGGTGAGCCCCATCTCTACAAAATAAATTATTATTATTATTATTGAGACGGAGACTCGCTTTGTCACCCAGGCTGCAGTGCAGTGGCGTGATCTCGGCTCACTGCAACCTCCACCTCTGGGTTCAAGTGATTCTCCTGGCTCAGATTTCCAAGTAGCTGGGATTACAGTGCGCACCACCACGCCCGGCTAATTTTTGTATTTTTCGTAGAGACAGGGTTTCACCATGTTGGCCAGGGTGGGTTGGAACTTGTGACTTTAGATGATCTGCCCGCCTCGGCCCCCCAAAGTGCTAGGATTACAGATGTGAGCTGCCACGCCTGGCCAGGTTGATACCATTTGAACCACTGATCAATCTTAGTACCATTAAAAGTGAGATAACCAGATATAAGATACTTCATGATGTTATGCAATAGAAAATACCCAGTGCCTCCTGTGAAGTATTCCTGATCCCTCAAACTGAACTCAAATCTAATTAAGCCTTAGATCTAGCCAACAGTTTATAGGAAATACAAGAAAGGGAAAAATAAAAACACCGAGATGAAGTACAGGACAAATAACCACATTCCCCAACAGATTAAATTCACAATCAAAGATGGGAGAAAGGTAGACTATTATGGACTAAGAGTCTTCCCCCGACCCTTTATTCCTCTTATTTATTTTTTGGAGACATAATCTGACTCTGTCACCCAGGCTGGAGTGCAGTGGCACAATCATGGCTCCAACGATCCTCCAACCACACCCTCTCAAGTAGCTGGGACTACAGGCCTCCAACACCATGCCCAGCTAATTTTTAAATTATTGTAGAGACCAGGTTTCGCCCTGTTGCCCAGGCTGCTCTCAAACTCCTGGGCTCAAGTGATCCTGCCGCCTAGGCCTCCCAAAGTGTTGAGCAACCAGGCCGGGCCTAGAAGAGTAGTTTCTTTTTTCTTTGTTTTTTTTCTGAGACAGTTTCACTCCTGTGCCCAGGCTGGAGTACAGTGGCACAATGTTGGTTCACTGCAACCTCTGCCTCTCGAGATTCTTCTGCCTTAACCTCCCCAGTAGCTGAGAACACAGGTGCATGCCACTGTGCTAGGCTAATTTTTGTATTTTTTTGTAGAGATGGGGTTTTGATGTTGGCCAGGCTAGTCTCTAACTCCTGGCCTCGAGTGATCCACCCACCTCAGTCTCCCATAGTGCTGGAATTATAGGAGATATTTGCTTTATTTTATGAGTTGTAATCCATTGCTATAATTATTTATTTTGTTGCTTGAATTGTCCCAGATTTCAGTTATAATCTTTTGATATGTTTAAACATATATAATGTCCTTTTTTGGGAATTGTCTATTTTCCATTTTTCTATTGGATTTTTATCCTTTGTCCCTCAAGTTTTATGAGTTCCTTATATATTAGGAATATTAGCCTTTTATTTGTGCTTTATGTTGCAAATATTTTCTCCTAGTTTTTAAATTGTATTCGACTTTGCTTATGGTATATGTTGCATACTATTTTTTGATTTTTAATTAAATTAATTAATTAATTTATTTTACTATGGCAATAAAAGACTTCCAAACTAACATACTATTTTTTTTTTTTGAGATGGAATTTCGCTCTTGTTGTCCAGGCTGGAGTGCAATGGCTCAATCTTGATTCACTGCAACCTCCACCTCCCAAGTAGCTGGGATTACAGGTATGCACAACCACACCTGGCTAATTTTTGTATTTTTAGTAGAGATGCAGTTTCACCATGTTGACCAGGCTGGTCTCGAACTCCTGACCTTAGGTGATCCACATCCCCCCCACCCCCCTCAGCCTCCCAAAGTGCTGGGATTACAGGTGTGAGCCACCGTGCCCGGCCACTACTTTCTTTTCTTTTCTTTTTTTTTTTTTTGAGATGGAATCTCACTCTGCTGCCCAGGCTGGAGTGTAGTGGCGCAATCTCGTCTCACTGCAACCTCCACCTCCCAGGTTCAAGCGATTCTCCTGCCTCAGCCTCCTGAGTAGCTGGGATTACAGGCGAGGGCCACCATGCCCGGCTAATTTTTGTATTTTTAGTAGAGACGGGGTTTTACCATATTGGTTAGGCTGGTCTCAAACTTCTGAACTTGTGATCTGCCTGCCTCGGCCTCCCAAAGTGCTGGGATTACAGGCATGAGCCACTGTACCTGGCTGCCCCTGGATTTTAAGTCATAGTTAGCCTTTTTTTCATACTGAGGTTAAAAAGGACTTCACTATGTTTTCTTCTAGTAGTTATGTAGCTTCATATTTTACATTTAGATTCTTGATCCATTTGGCATTTCTTCTTATGTATGATGTGAACTATAGATCTAATTTTACCTTCTCCAAATGGCTACCCTGTGATCTCAGCATTAAAAAGCCCATCTTTGCTTTTTAGATGTCACCTTTATCATACACTACATTTTCTTATGGAGTTGAGTCCATTTCTGGGTTTTCTGTTTCCCTAGTCATGCACCAGTAGTGCCACACTGTTTTAATACAGAGGCTTTCAAATTTTTGTTTGTTTTTTTGTTTGAGATGGAGTCTCACTCTGTCACCAGGCTGGAGTGCAGTGGCGCAATCTTGACTCAGTGCAACCTCTGCCTCCCGGTTTCAATCGATCCTCCTGCCTCAGCCTCCCGAGTGTCTGGGACTACAGGTGTTCACCCCCATGCCCAGCTAATTTTTTGTAATTTTAGTAAAGACAGGGCTTCACCATGTTGGTCAGGCTGGTCTCAATCTCTTGACTTCATGATCCACCCACCTCAGCCTCCCAAAGTGCTGGGATTACAGGTGTGAGCCACTATGCCCAGCTCAAATTTTTATGTCTGATTGGGCAAGTCCCCCTTCCTATACATTTTTAAGTAAGTCTCATTGCTTAATAGCCACAATTCATTTTAAAAATCTTATTTTGTTTTATTTATTTTCGAGACGAGTTCTCACTCCGTTGCCCAGGCTGATTCTCCCACCTTAGCTTCCAGAGCTGCTGAGACTACAGGCATGTGCTACCACACCCAGCTAATTTTTTTTCTTTTTCTCTTTCTTTCTTTCTTTCTTTCTTTCTTTCTTTCTTTCTTTCTTTCTTTCTTTCTTTTCTTTTCTTTTCTTTTCTTTTCTTTTTTTTTTTTTTTTTTGAGACGGAGTTTCACTCTTGTTGCCCAGGCTGGAGTGAAATGGCGTGATCTCAGCTCACTGCAACCTCCACCTCCCAGGTTCAAGCAATTCTCCTGCCTCAGCCTCCTGAGTAGCTGGGATTACAGGCGTGCACCACCACTCCCAACTAATTTTTTTGGTACTTTTAGTAGAAACGGGGTTTCTCTATGTTGATCAGGCTGGTCTCGAACTCCTGACCTCAGATGATCTGCCTGCCTCAGCCTCCCAAAGTGCTGGGATTATAGGCGTGAGCCACCATGCCCAGCTTTCTTTTTATTTTTTAAGCAGAGATGAGGTCTCACCATATTACTCATGCTGG